AAAGAAGTTGTGTCGGGTTAAAGCTTCTTTCAAGTAAGCTTTGATATTGCTTTCTCACTTTCTCTAAATTTCACAAAGAGAAAGAAAAGAAGGAACGGGACGCTATTGTCAAATTATGATCGAAAGGATTCGTTTGTTGGTTTGAATAAGTAAAATGCATTCGATACGCCTGATTGCAGTAAAGGTCGTAATTGAGAAGTGTGGTATACTTAATTGAGAAGTGTGGTATACTTGGCATAAGACAAGGACTCATCAAACGAAATAAGCATCAGAGCTTCAGCTATAAACGACATAAAAGTCAAAAATATGCTTTCCAACTCTAAGATCATTTTTTAAGTGGTGAGAAAGTAAATGTGTTTCGTGGATTAATTCCCTATTAAGATAAAAATCTGATCCTTTAAAGCTTAACCTCGTTGATGGAATTCATTTTCTTTTAATGAAACCGTTATCGTTATCGTTATGAACTGTCTGCTAACTTCACAAATTAAACACTATCAGCTCTTTTGTGAGTATTCTTAATAAATACATTATTGACAATAATCTTCATGCTACTGTACGATTAACCAGTTACTAAGTTTCAGCTGTTTTTATCACCTATGAATCTCAATCGTGTTATTATCTTTTGTTTTTTCGTCTATTCTATCATTTATTAAAAAGTTTAAAACAATTATATCAGAGCGTATGTGTATGTTTTTGATTCTTCCGCTTCCGTGATTTATTTTTTGTTTCAATTCTATTTTTATGTTTGATTTTATTTTTAATAATTTTTTGGAAAAAGATAGATGCTAAGATTGTTTGGTTATTTAATATACTTCACACTTCGTTAAGCATATCGCAAATTATCGTATTACTGCTAACTATCGGATTTTCAACAAGAACTTCCAATAGACTGTAGAATGATCGGGAATGATTCTTGTAATTCACATCGAATCGCTCTCCCCCAATTCCCACTGCTTTATTATTCCTTCTATCTTTATTTATTATCCGTAAAGGTAACAACGAAATACCATTGAAACATAAGATGACAGAGAGGTGACAGGGATGAAATGAAATAATTATATGATTTTAGGGATTGCACTGATTCTAAAGTTTTATTACACTTCTAATAGGTATACAATCGGATTTTTCAAAATTTTCATTTATTAAATATCTAACAAAGCAAAAAACGAATGATTTTTAATGGAATAAAGTGTAGAAAATGAGGAAATAAAAAAGTTTGTACAATTCGAGTATATTTGTATTATTTACAATACATTGTTTTCCAATTTTGTGACTTTTTAATTTATTGTTAAATTAAAGATCACATTAAAAGATTCATAGCCAAGTTGTCGCATAAATATCTCATAGATGAGAGGAGCGCTTGGTATTATTAAAGAATAAATGTTGAAGTAAGTTCACGACAGCAGATATCAGCTTAATCTTTGCAATTGTCAATGAATCGTTTATGTAGGACTGATTCCCGGAAGTTGTAGAAAGCGGTATTTAATTATCTGATAATAGTGTTCTAATGGAAATGAATAACGAATTTTCCTTTAACACTCTATTGGCTTCCTTTTTTTTTTTTATAGAAAACTCAGTTTTACGCCGTGTGTCTCGCGTAACCAACGTAACTAACGTAACCAGCGTGAACGTCTGTTTTTTAGTCTTTGAAATTCTCGTAGAAGTAAACGGAATTTAAATTTCCTTGCCTATTAAGGAAACATAATAGATCATTTAGTAGTATTTGTGGAGCAAGTTCTGGAAATTAAAGCCATTGAGGAATGATTTGTATGAAATAGTATGAAAAATCCTCTCAGATATTTTAATTATTTCAAGAAATATAGATTACTTCACGGAATTATTCGGTTCTATTTATCATCATTATCTATCTAATTAACAGTTGTTTAATTAGAATAGTACTTACTTGTGATATTGATGCACCATATACAACATTACATTCCAACTCTTACGTATTTACAACGCTAATATTACATTACTGGAAGATTCCTGTCTTAAGCATGCGTCACGTGAAATTGACTCAATCGTTGATTTTGTTACGTGATTTTGCTTGTTATTATTGTGTTTAATTTGTAATTAATTTGACGTATTATTGAATCTATTTGCAATATTTTGTTTTACTAATATTTATATATTTATATTTAATGGATATATAATATTTATAATATATTTATAATTTCTATATTTATAATTAATACTTACAATATTAATTTTTATATTATGTTATAAATATGGTATTTATAATATTATATTCATATATTATTTACAATAATATTGACAAATATTTTTGTGTCCAAAAAATTTTTCTTTTCTTAATAAAATGCATAATAGTTTGTTTCTCTTTTTTCTCTATTTTTACTGAAAAATGGAATTTTTGTTAATTTGTCAACCTTGATAAGAACCCCTTTCCAAAGATAATATGATAAGCTATCTTTCGGAAGTAATAGCTGACATAGTTAACCTGAAGATGTGAAATGGTTCACTCTAATTGGAACCGGAATTGCGTTCAAACTTTGATAGACAGGTGAGTGTTGGTTGACATTGAGGGATAGGTGAATAATGATTGACACTATCAACGATGTAATGGTAACAGCTATAAATGTTACAACATTTGCATAATTTGCTAAATATTTGTGGTAAAAATTGATATTGCTTGAAGAAGATGTATTAATTTTTAAATGAGAACAAATATGCTCTATTCGTTTTTTTTCCCCTCTCCCCCCCCCCCTCTTCTTCTGGAAATTTTGCAAATATAATCCACATTGCCTGCAATTACATGAAAAAAAGTATAGACGGATACTTCCGGTCATCAGGCCAACATATCAGATCTCCTTTTGTTCTTTCCTGATATCGTTCCTGAGTAATGAGCGTAATTCGGCAAATGAAATGAAGATGAAAATATTATTCCTATTTTTTATTTAATAATCCGTTTTAGTCCAGTTTTTATTTATCATTCATAAGGTGTCATCCAATTAATTTTATGCATTAACACAAAGAATGTATGTGACAATCAGTTATCACCAAAACAAACACTTCCATTACTATCAGTTCTTTTTTACTTACATATTAATTTATTCTTTTCCTACAGAAATTATGCTTAAACAATTAATGATTTCGCATTTCTAATAATTAATGCATGATATATCTGATCTTGTAATGGTACCTAATTTGGAAAATATTTAATTCTTACAACTTTCCAAGCAAATAATTGCATCTTTCAGATGATGTACTAACTTTTCAAAAATATGCAGAATTCTGTCATTCAGGAATTTGGATAAGATATCAAAAGTGATAATTACTAAAATTGGGACGAAATAATATTTAATCATAATATTAGTAATGGTGTGTATAACAATTGTACGGTCCAATGAAATGCTATTCAACATGACAGTTGAATTTGCATCATTGTAAATAATACATCAATCTGGATTTGTTTCATTTTAGATTTTTATTGGATTTTAATTTGAATTGGTTTATAAGAAAATTTGTCATTATGCAAAATTTGCTTAAGAAGAAACTTTGTTTAGATTTATAAAACAAATGAAAGAAAGCTAAGAAAAGAACAGAAAAATATGACGAAATCCTTTGATGAACTCTTTCTACAAAGTGATTATCAGCTATTATTCAACAAAAAGTTCATCGGTCGGTTATTACTTCAGATTGCGCACAATATTACCATCTGCCGGATGACAATAAAATAATTTTTGCAAGATCTGTAATTGATGCAGTAGTGTTCAAACTACGGGGTTGCTTATTTCCTTTATCGGTTTGGGATCCGGATCAGATTTACCGTATTGATGGTTGTATTTTTATCTGCGTTCACAACTGCAACTATATCCACTGCAACACAGCTTACCCATTATTGTTTGCACCTGAATTTGTTAGAATTTGTCATAATTCATTAACACTCCTTTCTTCCAAATTTTTCTCAACTTAGAACTGATAAGCTCTATTACTAAATTTAATAAAAAAAGCTAATTAGTAGGTGGATTTAATTTGTATTCAAATGGCTAAAACTAAAATTATTACCCACTTACAAGTAATCCATCCTAAACATGTTGCTATCTGCATCAACCATCAAACACAGGATGATTGTTTGGCTTGATAAAAACAATCAATGATAATAATTGTACAAGCAAAGTTAATGATATGCATATCACCTCTTAATACTATACAACTAACTGTTATAACTAGATCTATAAGGGAAGCCATCAATGAGAATATTTGTAAGGAAAAAAAATTACCCATTTTTAGCGATCCTTACTGTCATTCTCGTGAAGTGAAATGTAACATCACAAACGACATAAAATCTGTTGACGAAATGAACTTCTCAGATCACTGTAATGATTCAAATGTCCTTCCAAGAGAAACCTAAGTTTGTACTGTTTCCATTGCTCGAAGGGTAGCATAATACTTGAGAAGAATATTTCATGTGGTTAGATGGTTTAGTCACTAAATTAGATCTTGCATATTAAGAATATTGTCTAAAGGTTGGAATAATTCTTTACTGTTTTCTACTGCATTCTAATGCAATTCATAAGGGAAGACTGGTCAATACTACTTTTCTTACTGGTCAACACTACTTTTCTTTGAATATAAAATAGTTCTAATAATCAAAAGTGGCGTCCAACATCCCCGGGAAGAGATGCCGGGCCTAAACTGGCGCGTATATGCTCGTGATGTGTTCCATCCAACTGTTTTGCGAGGTGGAGAACTGCACACTGTTGCTTGTATTTTGACCCCATTCTTAGCCTACGAACCGCCTCTGACTGATGTGATGCGTTCTTGCTTGGGACGGTACGCGTTGTCTCTCAGGTTACCCCGGGAAGTAACGCATACCTTACGGTCTACTACCAGGCAGCCTGCACGTTGCCGCGCTGGGCCTGGGAGTCCATCCTTATGTACCATACTCATTGCTGTAGTCCATTGATCTGCGTGTGGCCATTTTGCTTGCTACTTGTCGCGATAGATCGATCCTACGCCGTGAGAATTTGGACGCGCCAATACCACCAATCATCGTGGGCTTTCTAATAGAACAGGCAATAGTTTGCAGGAAACTTTTGATGAGATGATAAATTTTTCTCTGCCTTCTTTGCGTCTCTTCGCCTTATGCGATGTTTTGCAACGAACAAAGTCACAAATAATGCAAACCGCCGAATCTACAGGAATTTTTCGTTTCGTTTGTTCTTTTAACAACGCCATAATCGGATGACCTTTAACCCATACATTGTACCAATTTCTACGGTCTAACTCTACTAACCCAACTTCAAGTTTTCTTTTAATATCAGCATGAGGACCAGGTAAGTTTCGCAGGTCTCACTAGAACAAACTGTAGAACGGCTCCAATGGTTATCACATATTGGCGTAGAAATCTCGAATGTATATTCCGCGGAAAAGTAGCCATCTGAAATGGCGTACTTGTTTTCCAGATTTGTTCAAGTATATCAGGTACCAGAACTCATCATTTGTTAGATAAAATGAAAGAAGAGATTCCTTTTTCTACTTTCTTTTCCATTCGGATTTATGAAGAGAAAAACTTTAACATCAGGCCATTATTTACTGTTAAAGTTATTTGATTACATTTATGTTCAATGTGCTGTGACAATGATTTGCACGAAAGCCTCAAATATTTAGGCAAATATTGGAGTTTTGGCTGATATGTCATTCGCTTCATTTCATCTTTACATTATGGGTTGCATTTCATTTTTATCTTTTATTTCACATCTTTCTCTTCCAATAATTAATTGTCGTTACGGATTCTTTGAAAATTTTCACCATTCTGAATATTTATTATTAGGAAAAGTGATACCTCACAGGTAGTATGGGAGAGATATTGAATATCTTATGGAGGAAAGTAGAGGAAGTTCTATGCTTAATAGTCCCAAACTTAGATTTTAGGTTTCTCCCTATAAAAATTGTTCCAGGCTTATTTTTTCTGTTCCGCCAATGAAAAGTCTCCAGGCTTTTTTACATATAGCCTTGAAAACAAGTTTGGGAGATCTCCGTTGATGAAAACGTAAAAGTAGGCCTGGATGAAATGAATGTGACTGAGGGACCCAAGCACATGAAAGAAGCCTTGAGAACAAGAACAGTTTACCTGTCTTCTTGACACCTTACAAGTCAA